ATTTGCTAAGTCGAGGGTGTCATCCTCGAGAAGATAATCAATCTTTTCTGTCAAGGGGTCATGATTTTACTAATTTTAACCTATCTCGTTCTAGAACTTCGAAATAAGCCTAACACTCATTGAACCTATCCTTGTCCGGGATTTCCCACTTCGAGCTAAAAGGGTGATCGAGGTCTTCTGGCTTAACAAAAAAGAATCGCTCTTTTCAGCCCCAAAGGGAGCTAGGGGATTCTGGTGTCCTAAACCCTCCTTTGGTGGACAAATAGACAAAACAATTATACCTGGTGAAAATTTCATGTCAAAGACCATTTTCAACAGGTCGACTCTAGGCTCAATCTTGAGGCATCTGCAAAGGATAAAGAAATAGACTAATTCAAAAAATTAACTTAAGGGCTCGAACTCTTATCTTTTTAGACAATCGCTCACTAACTCACAATCTCCGGACTCGAGCTCGATTTTACTGAGAGTTGAGAGTGAAATATAAAAAATGAAGGGTCAAAGTTGGGGTATTTATAGGAGACCGTAGAATACTAACGGTCTTTTAATCTCAACTCTTGGACCAAAACACGTGGCGACCATCTAAGATCATGCCCTGACATCCCAACGGGCGTTTAACATGTTGAACGACACCTAGACATTTATATCTCTACATCTTCACTTGTAGATCAGGCTTGGACCGTAATCTATGACCTCAATGCATGGAGGCCTGTGATGTCCTTGAAATTAGCGAACCCCGAACTCGACCCGGACACCCCGACCTTAACCTCTCTCAAAACCGTCAAATCAAGGTCGGGCTTGTATGTCAATCAAATCAATCTTTCCCAACGACCTATGAAAACACTAACTCTACTCAACCTACAATTCTTACCTTAATTGACTTCCTTTTCGACTCAAACTCAAGTAGAATACTTTGAATGAAATACGAACACCTTATCCTACGAGGATAAGGACCACACTTGGTTAAGTACTTCTAGGACTCTCTCACCAATATCTATAAATACATGACTCAGGCTCATTCATCAGGGACATTTTTCATTTTTTCCAGTTCATAGCCTTACATAAAAGATTCCCTATTTCACTTAAGCATCGGAGGAGCGACGAGTACACACCTCGTTGCCTTTGTTTCAAGTATTCAAAGACTGTTCATGTTCATTCAAGTTCGTCGAAGTTCGTAGTTCAATCATCCATATCGAGATCTTTCAGGTACGATTTTTTGATAGCATCAAATTTTAATAACATATTTTTCATGGAATTCATAAATTTTCAATTTTTAAACTCCATCAAATAAGGACAAAATCACAATGGATTTAAACTTTTTCATTTTTTCTTACACAATTCTTCTAATTTTTTAAAATTTGTCTATAGTTTCTCTACAAATTATAACATTTACTTTACTTTCTAATCATATTGTGAACCTAAATTTACATTTTTAGATCTTTCAGGTACGATTTTTTGATAGCATCAAATTTTAATAACATATTTTTCATGGAATTCATAAATTTTCAATTTTTAAACTCCATCAAATAAGGACAAAATCACAATGGATTTAAACTTTTTCATTTTTTCTTACACAATTCTTCTAATTTTTTAAAATTTGTCTATAGTTTCTCTACAAATTATAACATTTACTTTACTTTCTAATCATATTGTGAACCTAAATTTACATTTTTTCCTAACAAATTATGAATATAGAATGAATTTTAAATGATTATATCCAATTTGACTTATATTTAACAAATTGTGTTTATTTGATTGAATATTAGTAGCGAATATTGGTTATAAATTTTTTCTTTTTATTACTTGGATTGATTGTTTGTATTAAACATAAACATTCATTTTTTTGTGATGAACATAATATTAATAAAAGGATTGTTTGAAATTAAATGGATGAAAATGATGAACGATATACTAATGAAGGAATGTGTTTTTAAACTCAATTCTGCGTTTTCTCGAGTTAAGTATGAATTATTCAAAAACCAAGAACAAAGTATTCGATCTATACAAGGTTTGAAGAGTTTGCGTCTGCCCTTGATCTCGAGTTTTCTAATTCTGCGCCAATATCCTTCCTTTGTATGCTGTCCAGTACTTTTGTGAGCCACTATTGCTTCTAGCTACTTGTCTCGGCCTTGTGCTAGTTGTTCTCCTGCAAATTCCTTGTGGGGTACTCATGGGGTGTTAAAACAATTCTCTTTTTAGATGTCCAGGATAAAACCCTAAAACTAAGTTTAACACAATTATATTTTGCATAAAAGTCAATCAATGCAGTTTCAACATTGACATCAGCTTATGCCTGATTGCCGAACCGTGCAAACATCTACCAAGCCTCAAATCAGGCAAATTCGTGCACCCTGTAAGAAGTGAAGCCAATGTCACCTCATTAGGCCTCACACCTTCGATCTGCATCATTTGACACAGCTTGATTGCCCTTGTCCAATTAGCATGCATTATGTACCCATTAGTCATAGTAGTTTATGTCACATCCCTCTCCACCATCTCATAAAAAACTCTACTTGCTGGGTCTACTCTTCCGCATTTTACATACATGTCCATCAAGGAATTCTGAGCTGCCAATCTTTTCCCTAAACCCTTCTCCTCCACCAATAAATGCAGCTCTTACCCCACTTCCAAGTTTTTCAAATAACCACAAGCTAGCAAAATCGAAAGAACCGAAGCACGATCAGCCTCCACTTCACCATCTACCATTTCCCTGAAAACCATCACAGCCTCTTTAGCACTATCATTCCTAAAATACCCACTGATCATTGTGTTCCAAGAAACCATCCCTTTCCCCTTCATTGCATTTCTAGCCCCATCTTGAGGTCGGGCCTCCACGTGAAGGTCAGGCCATATGAACATAATCTCTCTCCCACTTTTTAGAAGACGTTAGTCCTACTTCAACTATAATTCCCCATGACCCTTATCCACATAATTTACGTATCACGGTTCGATTCAAATTCAAACGAAAACTTCCAATATACCACAAACACGTTGCACAATAGCGATAAGGGTTACAAGTAGTTGAATTCTTTTATTACTCTACCATCTAAATCTATAAATGCATTATCAAAGTTCATTGTTGAGGTACGTTTTTCATTATTTCCAATTCATAGCCTTGTACATAAATTATCTCTCTAACTTAAGTATAGGAGGAAAAACGAAGACACACCTCGATACCTTTATTTTAGGTATCAAAAGGCCTTGTTCGTGATTAGTCCTAGTCATCAAACTCGAAAATCAACATATACAATTTTTGGTAGCATCAGTATCCATCACCACTAATGCTACAATATTATTCTAGATAACGCTAAGGGTGTGTTTGATTACAATTATTTTCCATGAAAAATATCAGTTTTCTACCCAAATTCTTACTTGGAGTGTTATATTGCTATTTTTTCATTGAAAATATTTTTCAACTTTTGAAAGTATGCCTAATTTTCCTTGATTTTAAGGAAAATATTTTCTTTAGTAAGAGTAGGTTTTTGTTTTCCTCATAACAAGGAAAAAAATTTCTTTTGTAGGTGATATTTTCTATATCAATCAAATACACTCTAAGTGATAAGTTCAATAAAAGATGAAATTAAGTGATTCATTTAATTATACATTTCATCTAATGTCATATTAAATCAAAATTGATATTTTGACACTAGTGGTGTTAAATAATATTATTCGTTTAGAATACTGAATAATTATATGAATAATGTTATCTAGCATCAGTTTAGATGACTATTTGATAGGTTCAATAAAATGAATTATGTAACATTGTATTTAAGTGAATTTATTATTTAACGTCATATAATTTCACATAGATTGGTACTTTAATATCAATAATGGTAAATAACGTTACTTTAAGGCTTTGTTTCTCTACTATTATTCTACATTTTTTTACAGTACTCATTTTTAACCATACATTATTCATTAAAATAATATTATACGTGAATAAAAAACTTTAACTTCTTTTTTAACCACATATTTCAAAATTAATAACTATTCCCCAATACATTATTCACAAATAATGGAGCCCAAACACCCCCTAATTGTATAGGTGCATATTTTTTTCCAAAAAATAATAATAATAATACATTTTAAAGACCTTTATGGCAAGAATTTCTCTTCATTTTTTCGTCTCTTGAATTCAGCAGAGGCCAATTTATCACGATCCTCAATGGAACGAGCACTCTCATAACGGGCCCCACATGAGCTGTTTCTATCACAACTGATGAAAACTCCCTCCACCGGCCACCGAATTGTCAAAAGCCTCCCCTTCGTCTAAAAAACCTGAATGGTCCCCAAACTATACATTGTGTGCGAAGATGGTCCCAGACTTTAAATTGAACTTCAACAATTTCTTAATTTTAAGTCATGAATCTCGTTCGTACAAAAATTAAAATCCGTCGGACTTCTTAGCTCTTACCAGGACAACTGATTGATGAAATGCCAATACACGTCGTACAAATATGACTTTTTCTTCTTTTCTTTTTTTGTTTTTGGGAAGGATTTTCAAATTAGAAGTGCATTAAAAGCATATTTTTTTGGTCCAAGAAATAGTACAATTTATCCTTATTGTTGTAGAATTAAGTCATTTGTACTTGTTTGTTGACATTTTAGATTACCCGACCCCACCACTCCTCTCACATGAGGTTGGGTCTCATGTGGAGGTCATGACGTGAGGTCCGACGCCCATGTGAGAGGAGCAGGCCCGAGTAAATTAAAGTGTGAACAAACAAGTACAAGTAGGATAACCCATTGTTGTAATAGATAAGTAACATCAATTCGTTGTCCAAATAAGAGGTTAATAATTAATTTTAGACGAAAATCATTTTTTGAATTAACGGCATTACCGAAGTCCAATTTCAAGTTCGGAGACTTTTTTGCATAGCGTAAAGTCTAAGGACAATTCAAGTTTTTTATCCTTATATGAAAGATATATTTTTTATTTTTTATTTTTTAATTTTATTTCCCAAAATGAAACCCAGAAATTGAACAACAACATACACCTCGAATAATCGAATTCTAAGAAAGCACATCTTATTTCCGATTCAAACAGAAATAAATTACAAAATAAGACGAAACAACACCAGAAGAAGAGAAAAAAAGTTTCACAATTTCATTTTCATCGCAATTTATCATTTTTCCAAGGAAAAATGAAAATCTATCTTCCCCTTCAATTTCTCCTCCTCTGTTAATTGAGGACGTGTTAAAGATGGAGATCGAGCCAGGCTCTCCAATTTTTTACAATTTCATTTCATTTCACTTCACGTTGCTTCTGGATTGATACATACGCGTATAAATTCGATAATTGTTTCTTCAAATTTTGATAATTTTAGCCGCTTTAACCACCGGATTTTCCCTCGAGATGGCCTCTCTTCCAGCGGCTTTGTAGTCGTAGCTGCAGTCGTGCCGATCGGAATAACGATGATCGGCGCAAAAGAGCTCGCCGCATCTGCATCTAAATCCGGTCAAACCGACCTTCCTCCGGCAACCGGAGCAACGATTCACCTCTCGCTTCACCAGCACAACCTCCGCCGAATCCGAATCATCTTTCTTCAAACCCTTACTGATCTCCACAGATTTCAATTTCCTCTCAGGCGAAGATCTCGAGGACGAGCTGGATCTAAACGATTTTTTAGATCCCGCAACCGCCGTGACCACAGCGGATGCAGACCCCGCTGCGGTGGCGCTGAAACATTTTTTACACAAATCATTGGCCGCAGAATTACCAGCAACACCGCATTTAACACACAGCGTTATGGTCTCCGGTACAACCTTGAATTCCGTCTCTTCTTTCTCTGTTTTTTGCGCCATAGTTACAAAAGCAATTCACAAAATCTTGAAAATTAACACGAAAATCTTATAAAGAAATATTATCGATTTGAAGAGAAAGAAAACGAGAGGTAGAGAGGAGCATGAGAAATTGGTTTGTGGGTTGGATTTTGAAGGGGAAAAAGTAAGGAATAATGGCCTCATGGAGACGCGGATTAGGATATAAATGGACACAAATGACCTCGTGACTTTTCAGTAATTACAGGTGGGGTTTTAGCTTTTAGGTGAGGGGTGGTTAGGGCTGGGGTAGGTACTTCTAGATCAGGTCTGACGTGGTAATAAGAATAACCCTCACCCATTCGATGATATTTTAATGTTGATTAGAGAGAATGTTTTAACAAGTTTACTCTTTTCTCCTCTTATGATTGTGATAATAAACAAACGCAAAAAATCAAGTTAAAGAATATCACAAGTGTATTGGATAGACTTGTACAATGGATTTATGGTGCAAGGATGGTAAGGTTAGATAGTATTTATTTTAATTTGTATAATATGATTTTCTACTTTAAAATATAAATAATATTGTTTATTTAAAGTCTAGATAATCATCGATCTTCATTGTCACATTGTATAATTAGACATTAGATAATGTGAAATAAACTCTCATGTCACCAGAGAATGGCTAATACTTATCGAAAATTACTTGATAGTTTTGAAGTTCTTAGAAATTCTAATTATGCAAAATAAATGAATCGTTAAATGGCTAAGGACCCCCCTTTTCTATGCAAAGACGATAAACCATAACTGCTAGATCAAGAAAAACCAAATTGCACCATCCATTTGTGCTGGCAGTTCGAATTGTCAAATACGAAAATGCGCCTCTTTAGTTTTGAATGAAAGGTCGAGATAGGACGTGACCCATGTTGGGAATCTATTTAATAATGCGCAGCGAAAAATAAAATAGATTTCAATTCCCACAAAAGATCTGCTTTGTGTTTAGATGGAAACTATGATAGAAATTGTACTTTTCTATAATTTTGCAGACTCATTTGCTATTTTTTCTTGATTTTGCAAACTTTTTTACTATTCTTTCGCTCCAACAATATTGATTTGTCACCCACAACAGTCCAATTGTCCAGTTTCCAATAAAATCCTACGCAGAGAACAAGATTGTAGGAACCAAGATTTTCTCATCTTGTGCTAGCAAAAATGAATTTTTCTACAAATTGAAAACCCTAGTCACTTAGGTCTGACCAGGTCCAATATTTAATTAACTCATTTAATTAAATTCGGTCCGTGAAAGCAACACAATTAATTAATTTATCCAACGCTTGTTAAATTAATTAATTACAAGTCACAATCTTCCAGTTCTCCTTTTGTGTACAATTCATCAGGTTCTCGATCACGATGTCTAACAATATGAATTATTATTTTGATATAATCAAAAACGATAAATTAAAACACCCTTTTAATTTATCACAAACTCACGTTCGTCGTCCTAGGTTGATATCTAGCAATGTGTCAGGGTAATATATGTGACGAAATATGTCACGTAATATGACAAAATCAAACTGGTTCATTTATCCTGAAACTATAATTCTTTCGTCAATATGATCCGATCAATTACGAGATATAAAATTGTGCGAATCCCGATTATCGATTATATCTTTCATTCCACTATTAAGTCAATATAAGCTGAAAACTCCTTTTCGACTTCTGAGTACACCTTGGCTAAGGATTTCATTAGCGACTTAATTGAATGAATTGTGGATCATAATATCTTAGTATCTAGGAGTGACGAATCCTCTATCGGTCATTCATAAACTTCATACGACCTTGACATACTTGAACGATGTCGTATTAGCAATTTCTTCGTCACCACCTGAAATACGTTGCAAGATAATCAATTTAACCACTTTCAAATCAAGAAACCTTTAATATCTCATGATATAATACTTGACTAAATTTCTCGATACTTAAGTAAATCTCCTAAATTTTCCTTTAATCAATTGGAGTTCATTTTACTTTCTAATACCTTCACAAATATGTATTATGCCCAATTTTACCTTGATCTCAGTCATAGAAATAATTATCCCTTTCAATCTAGTGAAAACTAGCACAAACAACTCAACCAACTTAACTTCATCTTAATGCTTTCATGTGAGTATTTCATCACCACAGTTATTTTTAGTAACAATACTTATTCAAGAACTCAAATAAAAATTCTAGGGTTTGTCCAAAAATTGATATTTCTTACTATAATGTAAATGAAAAGTAACCAATCAAGGAACTTAAACTAACATGACACTAATTTTTCTTAATCTGAAAATTACACTAATAAATCAAAACTCAAAAAATTAGTCACAAATTATACTATATCTCTTGGAGAAATTCGGTAAATTGAAGAATGAAATTTGAATAGTCAAACATACCTCTTTTACTTCTTTCTTCTATTTTTTTCTTCCTTTTTCTCCATTTCTTTTTTCTTTCTCGATTTTTTTTTTTGCTTTGCCTATTTCCTTCAGCTTTGTGTGTGTGTGTGTGTGTGTGATTCCCAACAAACCCCCAATCCTGCCTTTTTTTTTTTGTTAGCCGATCCATAATTCCTAATAGAAATATAAAAAAATGGGTTAATTGTTTAATAGTTAGTGGGCTCTAACTCATAATTGCAAAATAAGTCCTCCAACTTTCATATAAAATCACGTTAAATCCTTATCTTTTAATACTTGAAAAATAAATTCCTAACTTCCATTTTTTTTCATATTAACCCTCAAAATATTTTTCATTATAAAATAAGCCCCCAAGAAAATGATTTGGTCAGTTTAAGTCCTTATTAGACTTTGACTTTGACAAGTTAACTTTTGATTTTTGACTAATTGAAATAAGTTGTAGCACTAAGAGCCTCCCCCACGAGCAATGGTCTCACCTCTGTATCAACTTAGCTTTACCAAAAGCCGCCTAAACCTTTTTATCAAAAGCTGCCAAAGCCTAACCATTATTTTATAAATTTCTTTTTTTCTTCATACTCATTTTCAATAATGTATTCACATAATAAAGTATTCTACACATAAGCTCAAATTTTCATACTTTTTAACCTCACATTATTCAAGAAAATCACTTTTCAAAACTCATTTTTACCCAAATAATGATTGTCGAACAAGGGCTAAGTCTAAAAGCATTGCCCTCAATCAAAGGGCTTGCTTCTATGTCAACTCAGCTTTATCAAAACACCTTATGTTTCAAATGTTCGTCCTTGAGTAAGAGCTTTGACTCTACATCACTAACGTTCGCACAAACAACCACGAACGGTATTAACACAACATCAGTATCTTAAGTCTACGTCTCATATAAATATTTATGCTTTGAAATGGAGGACTATTGCGTTACATTATCTCTCAACAATAACATGACCACACCAACAACATAGCTTTAGCTAAGATAAAATACTCCGTGCCAAAGCATCACTTCTATAGCATATCACAACATAACACGTGTAATGAACCTCAACCTAAAATATGCATTTATATTAATATTCTTTCTTGGGGCTCAATCCTCTTAGTAAAAGATTGGACCGAGTTTTCAATTAAGAAAATGGACGGTAATTACTTGTTATCTTATTTGACTTGGAGAATTATTGTTACTCCTCATCGAATAAAGCAAGTAGGGATGACAATTCGAACTGTCAAAATCAATAATAGCGATTAACCAAACCGATGGCACAATGGGGATGTATATGATATTTGATTTTTAATGCCCTAGGTCGGGGCGGGCACGGGTATGATATTTATGATGTCGCCCCACCCTACCTCGCCTCGAACCGATTACCCGTTAAAAAAAATTAATTGGATAATTAGGCTTTCCATTATTTTTTCTATGATTCTGTCTAGCCCAAAATTCTAGCCCATTATCGAGCCGCTAAGTTCAACTAACCTAGCCCAGTAACTCTACACTCTATTACACAAATATTAAACATATATGGAAATTGTTTGTTAAATTCGAATTTTGCATTTCGGAATTTGGATATTGTTTGCTAAACTAGCTTAATATTGTGTTTTTGTTTTGGTTGACTTTTTTTTTTTTTTTCCCATAATTTGTCTTTTTCTAATTCGACGACTAAACCTATAAAAAATAATTTATTTTCGTGGTTATTAACCGCCCGAACCAAGCCAAATCGAACCAACTTATGTGGTTATGGTGGTTCGGTGATAGTTTTGGCCAAACCGACCATAAACTAAACCGCTGCCAACCCAGGAAGCAAGAAATGATCACATGGAAGCTACGTAATAAGCAAACTTAGACCTATGCTCCACATCAATGTCTTACTTGGTCTATCCAAGGCTCTTAAGTAGTCAAAGTGATGCACTTTGTCGAACCCCCATGTAAAAGCCGAACACTTCATGAACAAGGTGATGCGATACAACCTAATGCAGAACCAATCTGAAGCAAAAATAGGCTTCAGGCACATAAAGGCACTTCTCGTTGAATATCCTCCATGCAAGATCTTCTAAGATTGATTGATTTGATTTTTCAAAAGGTATCTCATGTCAAGTGAATTTGTCAATCTACGTTTCATTTGTCAATTTCAGGTAGTATGGTAGCTACTTTTCAGAATCATTTAGGGTGCGGTTGGTTTCCATTTTCATTTCCAAAACGAGAAAACGGTCATTTTTCCGCGTTTTGAGCGTTTTCGACATTTATAACTAAAAACGCTAAAAACGCTAAAAAGTCATTTTGCGTTTTCAGTAATAAATTTTACCTCGTTTTCGAAAATGCGTTTTCGAAAACGATGGACCAAATGCATTTTCCGAGTTTTCAAAAATGAAAAACGAAAAATGGGTCAAAAATGGCAAACCAATCATGGCCTTAATGTCCTGAACATAGGATTGATGGAATGACGCCGTTCCAATCATTTCAAAATCAGTTCAATTATCTCTTGAAAAAATAATATTCCTTTCCATCCTACACTGTCTTGAATTTTACATTTCATTTCTGAAAATTATTTTCTTGTATTTTTAGTCCTCATCCGGTGTAGAAAGATCAACAAATTAGAAGTTTCAAGTTTTGTAATTCGGAGTACTCTATTACAAGTTGAGATTGTTATATTTTGAAAGATGAGTTTTAGAAGAGTGTCGGCACAAAGCGAGACATTATCATCTTAAATAGAAATTGTTGAACTCTTATCTTGGTTAT